TTATAGGCAAAGATGGATAGTGGTTAGCAGTGGAATCCAGGACGCGCGTTTTGTTCTATTTGGGACTCGTCAGCTGGCGATGGCGTTTGAATCAAAAGGTACTGCGTTCGAATTCCAGTGTGGACATCAACTCCAAGATGCAGGTACATCCAGCTGATGAGTCCCAAATAGGACGAAAAGCGCGTTCTGGATTCCACTACTAGCCACTATCCATCTTTGCTTACAATACTTGTGAATTGAGGCAACATCAAGGCAATACGCACATTATGCACATATACCAACGAGAGATTGACCGATTGCAGTCCTAAACATCAATTAGAAGATTCAAACAAACAGTACTAATTGAATTTAAAAGTTTAGTTATTTTGAATTTAAAAACAACTTCCACTCGAAGTTTGTGCTGACAATGTCGTTCAGTAGGACAATGAAAGCTCCACAACCAAACGATCCAGCTCAGAAAACAAAACCCCATCATCAAAATCATCCACTTGAGCTACAAATCTTCTCCACCATATCAAGAAGTATACTATTTCATTGTATAATATATTTAAGCTGTATTATGACTAAAAAGACCTTAATATTAGTTCAGGAGTGAAACTATATTTTAATTTAGAAATATTTATATATTCTAATAATAGAACAATGTTTTTGCTGGAACTAATAGTACACTATTCTTCTTTTTTGTCAATTCACAAATGACTTTTCATAAAACTGAACCTATATATAAATATAGTATTTGTTTCCACACTAAATAATGGTTATTTCATATAGCTACGAGCAAAATTATAACCATGGTAATGATTAAAATAATAGCAAAATGACCTATATTTCTGTTTGCAGTCTATTAGAGATTATGTCAACAGAGAATTATAAGGAAAAATGACAAACAAAAAAATAAATTACTATTAGAGATTTTGATTTATTTAAAACCAACAAAACATCTTAACCTAACATGATAAATGGGTAAATTCTTATTATTTTTGATTAAACACTTTTGTTTCCCTTGAAGAAATGAAAATTGACTTTACGAAGTTAAGCGTTCATATGCAAGATCATAATTTCTGAGTCCGAGGTCAGCATATGAGTTTGTGGATGCATACTACTGAGGAGTCCCGTATTAGGACGAGACTACCGTCCAGTGCTTTCAGGTTTTCTGTGATAGTCTAGCTTACATCAATTCAAGAATTCTACGATCAAATTATAAATATGTTTATTTCTATTTATTTTTCTGTCTTTTTTCATAAGCATTAGTTTATTAACTTTGATCTAAAAAATTCCTTCTATTATTAGTATGCTGTTTCACTTACACTAAAATTAAGTCCTATTGTGTTTGAATATTCAGTTTAGACTTATTAATTTTACATTTTAAACTACTTCCCATGTTAATCAAAGTAGTAAACGTTGCATTTACTTTAAATTCAATCGCTGAGATTTTACAAATATATTTTTCTTACAAAATGTCTTAGATTAACTAAGCGCCTAAATACTGTGAAACTATTCGTTCAAATTTAGACGAAAGTTTTGATATGATAAATATAACCGGTAATACAATAGAGAAACATTGAAAAAATATATCTTCACATTTAATTTTGTTTATTTTTAGTTTTCATTGAACTGCATAAGAAAAAAAATTAAATGATAATTAAAAAAGAAACTATGGTAAGTAGTTTGTAGGTATCATTACCAAGTTTTTATTAGATAATTTTGAATAAATTGAGCATTAGATAGATTGTTATAAAAAAATAATGTTTTTGTAATATGCCGATGAGTAGAAAAATTGCGTTGATGTTAATTTGGTTATTCATTTTCTGAATAATTGGCTCACACTGAGTCACGAAACGTCAGAAAATCTGACTTTTCTACTCATCGGGATGCTACAAATATATTATTCATTTATGGTAAGTAGTGGTTAAGTATTTGCTTGTATAATAAAGAAAACATTTTGACATTCAACTTGATTTTTCACTAAATATGGAATAAAATGAGCATTTAATGAGTGTAAAATTCAGCATAAATTAATTAATCTAGTAACCATTAGACAACTATGTTTCATGTCAACTAAGAGTCATTTAACAACAGTAGATACTGAAGACGTTGATTACATAGACTATAGAAGTCTTCTGGTTACTCAGAAAACAACTAAACACTGAGTTACAAAGTCATATAAAAATAATTTTCGTTTGTGAGTTTATTCAGTCTATAATTTTTTAACCATTATTTAGGCAAAGAGAATTATATTTAAAATTTGTAAACAGTTCAGTCAAACAAATTTTAATTAAAGCTGTTATGGAGTTTCGCGTTAGGACGAAGCAGTTTTTCAGTAGTTCCTAGGTTTTAATGGTTATCTAAATAATGTTGATCCACCATGTAAACTATAAAAGCTAAACACATTGAATCGTAATGGCTTGAAAATAGTATTCATAATACTACAAACATAAATTATCTTAAACAATTATCGCAACTGTAAATCGAAATAGAGTAGTTTTATTATATGACTTTCAAAACAAATTTTCTATCTGCTTTATTCATCTTAATTGGAAAAATAGAATTCATATGCATAATTAATGTCAAGTGATGTTTTCATAGCTGTCATCGATATAACACATTACCTAAAATTGTTACATATTGTCTAAAGAATAACGTGTAACTTCACACTAACTGATCTTCTGCTTATTATATTTAACTATATAGTAACTTATTATATAGTAATTTTTTTGTAAAGGCAGGTGGCAATCAAAACAGTAAACCCTGTCTCAGAACAATGGAGACAATAATTAATTTCTAATTTATTCCAATTTAGCTTTTTTCAATAGGTGATATATATATATATATATATATATGGTTAATATATGGTTAATTTGGTTATTTATTCTCTGAAGAAGTGGCTTACACTGAGTCACGAAACGTCAGAAAATCTAATTTTTCTACTCATTGGGATATTACAAATATATAATTTATTTATATATGTTTATACTTTAATACTATGAAGGGGAAATTGTACAGAAGAGTAAGGACAGTAGTGGTTGCTAGAATAGTTGCTTAGCAACTTGAGAATAATATAAGTTAATATAAATTCATATTTTTTAATTATTCTGATGATATCATTCTTATGATTTCTATTAGTATTGAAATTTTAAAATTAAACTCATGTAAACTCCAAAATGCAGGATTATTTCCTTGAGCGAAATTTTAAATACATATAAGTATCCCTAAGATAATATTTGTATTATATGGGACAATCAATATTATAGTATCGTTTTTAAAATTTTTAAACCACGCCCAGTTTATCTTTTGTTTATTAGTTCATGTAATGATAATATAATCTGAAGTATATACTCATTTCAATGGGTAATATTTAACATATATATATATATATATATATATATATATTTCGAGTAAAAATATAAGGGACTAGTTAAATAATTTTAAAAGGAAGCTATTTCGATATTTACTCTAATGTAATTAGGTATCAGAAAGGAATTACTTGTATGTTTAGTATGATTATTTCAGTTATGTAAATTGCACACTTATTGATTGTTCAGTTATTGATAATCAATATTAAGTTGTTGATTTCTTAATAATGGTTGGATTCAGTGAATCAAGTTGAAATACAACCATTATATCATATGAATCAATTTTTAAATAAACTATACTTAAACAAAAATTAATTGGCTATTAGCAGAATTCTCTGAACCTAGTTTTCGCATGATTTTCCAAATTGTATCGACAATAATGTTTTTTAAAAAAGGTGTTTTCAGAGAAATTTGAAACTGCATTAAATAGTACTGTTGTATCATACTATTACTTTGTTAGTAAATTTGAACATTGTAAACTTTTTTTAAAAATAAACGATATTCTATTAAAGTTTTATTATTTACATTAAAAAAAAATTATAACACGCTTTACTGATTATTCATTTTACAAGATGAATAAAGTTATTGTATAACTAAACTAAATATTGATTCATCAAGTTACAAATAATTTAAGAAGAGGTTTTGTGGATACTATAGTAATTTCAAAAGTTGAGATTATGAGTCAACTGGAGCTGGATCACTATGGAAAACCTGCAAGCACTGGATGGCCGTTTCGTCCTATTGTGGGACTGCTCAGTAGTGTGCATCCACGATCCCTCCTAGCGCGATTCGAACCCAGGACCTACCAGTCTCGAGCACAAAAGCTTAACCGACAGACCACTGAGCCGGACGGCATCCAACGGTGTTAATGTCTGACTTCAACCAATCCATAAAATTGAGCAACCATTCACCAATGCTTTCAGTGAGTTTATATCTCCCAACAAACCTGTTTGAACTCCACTGGTCACTGCTTCTGACTAGAACTACAGGAAATACCTCATGGAGCCAGTCACTAGTAAACATATGATCATTATCAGAAGGGGTTTTGTGGATATTATAGTAATTTCAATATCTGAGATCGTGAGTCAATTGAAGCTAGACCACCATGGAAAACCTAGAAGCACTGGATGGCCGTGATCGTAGATGCGCACTGCTGAGGAGTCCCACAATGAACGAAACGGCCGTCCAATGCTTTCAGATTTTCCATGTTTCTCTAGCTTCAATTGACTCATGATTTCAAATATGTAATCCAAAATTGTTTTCTAATTCAAATAGCATATAAAATAATAAATTTATATACAATATATTGAACGTATGGAGAAGAATATTTATTCTACTCAACAAAAACAATTGAATACACGAATTATTAGAAAATTAGTGAAAAGGAAGAGAGAGAAAAAGAAGCAAGATTTTTTGTTTTGTTTTGCTTGTTATCAGTTAGTCCTTTATCTAGATATAAAAAAACAGTGGACAAATCAATTCCTTATCTCATTAACAATGAAACTATATCAAGTATATATGTTGTACTCACTAAAAAAATACATACAAACACGTAAAATAAAATTGTTTACGCAATAAAAACATTTTTTTCTCATATTTGATTGATGTTGTCCCTTTATTTTTATTTTATTTTGTTCTTATTTCTAGATACAAAAAGATATGAATATTTTCAACTTATCAATCAAAAAATTAATGATGGTAGGTTTTTGTGTAATTATCTTTCATATATACGTAGTTCTTGTATCCGGATTGTCAGTAGCTCCTTTCAGATATCGGTCAACGTTGTAATCAATTGCTTGTTTGAGTTATCAGCACCACCACCGACAACAAAAATAATAATAATAGCAGAGTCAAATCTCTTTTAAGTAGTATGTTAAATTCGATATGAAAAATAAAGTGATTTGGATGATCTCGTGTTCTATGTTTATAATTATCTACTTAATCCTCTTATGTTATAAATACGATTCTAATTTGTATTTAAATCAAGGAGTTGAGATTATATGAAGTGGTCTCATTAGTTGTCTTGTTTATCACTTGTATAAATTATAATAATAATTTCAAGATTCATAAGAGAGGTGAAAATAAAAACTGCTTTTCTGTTTTAATATCACATGAATAACCATTGTGTAATTTCATGAAGGTGTAATAATTTGAGTGAGATTTGATTCATTGCGAGTCAAATTGTGAATTATTTCTCTGTTGCAAGCTTTGTAGTTGTCTATGTTTATTAATAATTATTTCTAAGAATAAGGTAAGCATTATTGTGAGTCAGTAAATGTGAAGAAGTCTGGATGGTGTCTGGTTCTCTTGAAAACCAGTGCAAAATTACCCTGGTCCACAAAGGTATATTATATGACTGTGAGGAAGAATAATTCATCATTATGGGATGTTAAAAATTATATTAAGTAGATTAATACTCGCTTAGAAAATGAAAGATTGATCTTTTTGCTAGCTAAACTTATTCAAATCGCTTAAGAATTATTTTCTATTACCTATTTCTACACTGTTCTAGTTACTGCAATAACGTTGAAGACCTGAATGCATAGGTTTGAATGTTAAATACAGAACTGAGTTCTGCGAAATTACCATAAAAGTGATTATCTAATCTCTTTAATTTTCATTGTATTCTATTTCACCAGATTATAGTAAATGAAATAATTTTTGTGTATACCTACTTAGGTAAATAAATGAGGAAGCCGATTTTAGAACATTATGTCAATGCACTTAGTATTATTTGTTTGAATCTTCTCATTGATGTTTAGAACTGTAATCGATCAGTCTCTAATTGACATATGTGTATACTATGCCTATTGCCTCGATATAGTCTTAATTCACAAGCATTGTAAACAAAGATGGATAGTGGCTAGTAGTGGAATCCAGAACGCGCGTTTCGTTCTATTTGGGACTCCTCCCGGGTTCCACTGTTAGCCACTATCCATCTTTGCTTATTATGTAAATTTCTTAATGATTATTTTTTTTAAAACACTTGTTCTTATCTTATTTAGGGTTTTCAATTTCAATAACATTCATACAATGTAATTAAGTTCAATTTCCTAATTCATCAGATTTCACTTTTTATAAGATGAAATTAGATCAGATGTCAATTTTCCAATTCCTATACCAATACAATCAGATATTTTTGATATAATGTTAAGATATCATTTTATCATTTGAGAGTGGTTGAGTTAAAAAATGATTTAAAGGATTTATATTATTGAGTGTATATCAATGAATCATAATTAATTTTATTTGAATAAGGAAAGGGAATCAATCTAAAAAATGTAATGTATTTGAGAATTACTTTTCTAAAAATATATTCCCAACTATACAAATCAAGTCATTTATATTTGGAAACTAATGAACATAATTTCATATAGAATAATCATTAGAAATACAAAAGTAAGAGAGTTAAAATCATATGAAATCAATAAGAATTTGTCAAACCTCTCTCTAGATTAAAATAGATTACTGATAACCAGGGTGGATCCATAGTTAGAACACATCGTTTTTGTTTATATGGAGGGCTGGAAAATGTTTATATAAATCTAAAAGTGGTAGCTTTTATAAAAAAAACTTTAAAAGTAGTTGTAAGTTTAAACTTAAGCTCCGTAGAAAAATGTTGACTCGAGTTTCTTATCTCAAACCACCTCATATCAAACATGGTATACTTCACATTGTCAGATTGATGTTTACTACTTAGAGATCAGTTGATATAAATATTCTGCAGTTTCTATCTGTAAAGTATGAGTTTAGGTACCATCTAAGGTATCGGTAAATTCAAGAATTAGTATATACCATGACGAAATGTACTAACTAGTAAAAAATATAATGACAGCTCGTCGTATTATTTGTTTCCAGCTACATAAAATTTAAAATCTTCATAGGTACGACCTTTAATGTGAAGTAAGAATAAACGGTTCACTTACTGACCAAACCTCTGTGAACAATCTCTCCGAAACTCCAAAAACTGAAATCAGATTTCCTGCCCTGAGTCTGTATCTCTGCTATGCATCGACTAATGGATTCTAAATTATAAGTATAAAAGTTTGGGGAGGTTTTCAGCAATAATCGTATTCCACTAGTGACCGATTTCAGGAGTTAATCTTAAAATTCAAGTGAGAAGCCATGATCTTTGGAGTTTAACTATGTCAAGTATGGGTGAGTTGTTCACGGAAGACAATAGATGTCCGTACACTACCGAATATTAACTAAAGATAAACTTCCAGACTACTGGATCCTGGCACAGTAGTCTAGAAGTTAAACGTCCGTGCTAGAGAAAGAAGGTTCTGAGTGACGAGGATACGAATGGGCATTGTCCAGGCCAAGTGCTTCATGGTGCTTAGATCAGTTCATAATATTGTAATGAACAGAACACTGGTTGAGGACAATCGAATGTATTTAAGCAAAGATTACAGACTATCTCGGTAAATTATGATAACCAAACAATAAACAGTCAATTTGCAAATTAACAACCAATTGTTTCAATCTTCAATGTTTCTTCTCTTATTCCATTGCTCATGCATTTTCCAAACGATTGCGCTTCATTTCAGTTCTTTGCTCATCGGTCTTCTGCGAAAATACATTCCATGTCTGACCCACACCATATACTACTTATATGGATATAAGTAAACCACACCACAATATGAATAATATTCTAAATTGTCCATCAATTCATAATCTTTGGTGAAAAATATGTCAAAATAACATCCGTCCAAACAGCTCTTTTTCTCTTTATTCTTGTTCTAGCTCCAGCCCCACCAGCGTTTCTAATAGAAGAATGCATTTCAGAGCGTAATGTTATTACTCTTGTGTGGCAGCCCACATCGTCTGTACCTATTGATCGTTATACACTTGAATTGGATGATGGAGCAGGTGGAACTTTCAGGGTTAGTTTATAGTATAAAGTTTTTTTTCCTGAATTTATTTATTCTTCTTTGAGTATTATTCATTTTGGTGATACACGGATAACTACTTAAGCTTTACTTAGTTAGGTCACCCAAACCAAGGACTTGTAATTTGTTGAATTAGGCTTTTTTAAGTTCATCCTAACATTTATCATTCTTGTATTTTTAACGTTCCGCTTGGTTTGATTTTTTTCACTATATGTAACTATTTATCAGTTATAATTAAGAAATAACAATCAGAAAACATAAATGACAGTTTTTATGTAAATGAGTTTTTAAAAGAAATATTAATTAATGAATTATTCAATAGTCTGAATAGTAGATATCATGAGTCAACTGGAGCTGGATCACTATGGAAAACCTGCAAGCACTGGATGGCCGTTTCGTCCTATTGTGGGACTGCTCAGTAGTGTGCATCCACGATCCCTCCTAGCGCGATTCGAACCCAGGACCTACCAGTCTCGAGCACAAAAGCTTAACCGACAGACCACTGAGCCGGACGGCATCCAACGGTGTTAATGTCTGACTTCAACCAATCCATAAAATTGAGCAACCATTCACCAATGCTTTCAGTGAGTTTATATCTCCCAACAAACCTGTTTGAACTCCACTGGTCACTGCTTCTGACTAGAACTACAGGAAATACCTCATGGAGCCAGTCACTAGTAAACATATGATCATTATCAGAAGGGGTTTTGTGGATATTATAGTAATTTCAATATCTGAGATCGTGAGTCAATTGAAGCTAGACCACCATGGAAAACCTAGAAGCACTGGATGGTCGTTTCGTTCTATTGTGGGACTTCTCAGCAATGCGCATCCACGATCCCACCTCGCGTCTAGCTTCAATTGACTCATGATCTCAACTATTGAAATTACTATAATATCCACGAAACCTCTTGCGATATTTAATAATAGTCAACTTCAAATGCATTAACTGTCTCATTATCGCGAAGGCATTGTTTATTAACTATTTCATCCAAAGACTATAAATTTTTTCTTTAGATTTACACTTACTTAAAAGCATTTTGAGTTAGTAGTATTCAAATATTTTTTCGTATTTCAGAAAGTGAACTATGTTAATTAAGATTTTCCCATAGTGAATTCCACAAATTATCTATTTAGAATTATTTTATTAAATGATTTATTCAGATTGATTCAATTTGTAAGTCACTTTTTCCTCACACTTAAATTAGTTTACAAAATAAGTGGACCGTTTAAAGTGTGCACCATTGACTGCATACACTAACAAATTCAAAACTTTTAGGCCTCATCACAAGCATGAATTACATTTAGTGTTAGTTGGATTAATTTTCTTATAGGTACTTTTTGTGATAATTAGATCAAACCGAATTTTACACTTTTAAAACAGAAAAATTTGGATTGAAGAAAATATAGTTTAGATTACATTTGACAGTGATGAACTCAACAGTTTCATTTTAGTTGACTATTTATTATATAACATATTTCCGATGTATATATAGAAACAGCTAAGCTAATATGTTGTTTTAAATGATTGAATATTATCGTTATTAAGTATCATTGCTAAGATTTGAGCTGATAATTTCGCATATATTGAGCATTGGATAGATTGTTATAAATAAATTAATATATTTGTAATATTCCAATGAGTAGAAAAATTAGATTTTCTAACGTTTCCTGACTCAATGTAAGCCGCTTCTTCAGGGAATAAATAATCAAATCAAGTTCGATTAATTTTGATTTGGTTATTTGTTCCCTGAAGAAGTGGCTTACACTGAGTCACGCAACGTCAGAAAAATCTGATTTTTTTACTCATTGGGCTACTACAAATATATTATTTTATTTATAACCGTTATCACATAGAAACAATGATGATAAACCGCACCCGCAAAATGTGATGATATATGTTTAGTTTTTTTGACAATAATTTTAATATATGTCTCTTTACAAGTTTAAAAACTACTTTCTATATTGTCAAACCTGTCTGTATTATCGCATTGATGAAGAACTAACTGAAAACAATGTTGTCCAAATCCTTATGTATATTCAGTATAATGGAGATGGAGTTTAGTACACGAATTATGCTTATAGGTTTACAGAACATTTTCATAAATTAGTTCAGAAAAGAAAATGGAATAAAATGTCATGAAAATCTGAACAAACTGTGTATTTGAATGAATATCAAATTTACTAAAATCATGAATAAAAGGCAGACATCAAAGAAATTGAATAGATCTGTAAGGCAGTTCTTATCCTTTATTCATTACGTAAACCATTAGTCAGAAAAATTTCCGTTATTTACGGACCAGTGCTTAGGTCATTCAGTTTTCATATTTATTCATATTTGACACATCGTTTTTTCTCATCATTTTTAGAAAGGGATATATATAACCTAATATTATGAAACATCGGAGATGAAAAAATTCAGTAAGGTCTTTGAACAGCATCAGTATTTAAATTCTTTAGTCCTGCAAAATTCAGAAATCATTTGGTATACATATCGATAAATATACCAACAACTGAAAAACGTTTTTTACACCCTTACAAGTTTAATCGAGTCACAATTTTAACTGCATGATATCTCTGCTAAAAATGTGGCACAATTTAAAAATATAAAATGATAAAGATACAAAACAATTGAAAGCAGTCTACCTACAAAGATATTGAATTGATATTCAATTTAATATTGTTTGTTCGAATCTTCCCATTGATGTTTAGAACTATAACTGGACAGTCTCATATTGGCATTTGTGCATACTGTGCGTATTGCCTCGATATAGCCGTAATTCATAAGCATTATAAGCAAAGATGAATTGTGGCTAGCAATGGTATCCAAGACACGCGTTTTGTCCTATTTGGGACTCGTCAGCCGGATGTACCTGCATCTCAGAGTTGATGTTCACTCTGGGACTCGAACCCAGTAACTTTCCCTTCAAACGTCATCGCATTATCTACTCAGCTACTGAGTCGAACAGTACTGGGTTCGATCCCCAGTGTGAACATCAGCTGAGATGCAGGTACATCCAGCTGACGAGTCCTAAATAGGACGAAACGCGTGTCCTGAATTCCACTGCTAGCCACTGTCCATTTTTGTTTATAATATAGTTGAAAATCAAGCAAAGCGGAATCTTCTGTATACTATTTAGTTTTAAGAAAGGTTATGAGTAATTTATCACATAAAATATACTTGTCCTCAGTTTAGATTTGAAGATGTAGATTTTACAATATATCTAAACAAATGAACTTATGAATGTCCAACTTGTAGAATCTATTCATTTTAAATGTCTAACATATTGTTGTAACAAGAAAGGAACATTCTTTTCTCATTACTAAAACAACAACAACAACATTATTTGATTAAAACTTCGAATAACTATTTTTCAAAACAATATATAATTGTTAATTTAAAATGATATAAGGGTTATTTCAATTTAAGCGATAGAAGAAACCTTATCTCACTATCAAAAGTCAACAAAAGGGAAGCTAAGGAAGTCTCTTTTTTTTAGAATAAGGGAAGAGGTTTACGTTTGATTAGTTTGTTAAACTGATAAAATATTTTTTCTGTTGATTGACAGGAAAAATAAATCAAGCGTGTAGCATCTATAAGTCTGATAAATCAAAACAAATTTTTTACGTTAACTAACGAGTTAATGTTCTTCATAATATCCAGACTTTAGGTAATTTTTTAATGGAAAATAGTATTAGGCATATAAAGTTATCCAGGAGACTGTGTATAGTTTGTTATATAATATTTAAGGTCAATGAATTTTATCGGAATGATTATATCTTCATGACGTTACTATCTATAACAATCTACTTTAGATGCTGAATTTCATTTTAGTGGACTATTTCAGGGATATGAGTAATAAGTTATTGTTAATAAATATTGTTGAACGTAAAAACAGACTTACTGATGTACTCGACTAATCTTTTGAGATACCTAGTTAAGTTCGTAGACTCTGCATTTAGTAATGTCACTCGTGATCTACTTAGATGGTAAACTGAAACATATCTCAAAGTTCAGATCATCAGTTCAGTTAGTTATTCTCCTCAAAGTAAATGATAATGAAAATTGCTGTAGATTTTCAAACTAAGTGAAAAAAATTTAAACGAAACAAGAATAATATATGCTGAATAGATTACAAATTTGTTGTGTTACTCTACTGTCGATTAAACTGTATATAAGCTAATAAGTTTAGTCAGTTTAAAATATTGACATCTTAGAAACTTACTTACTTACTTACGCCTGTTACTCCCAATGGAGCATAGGCCGCCGACCAGCTTTCTCCAACCCACTCTGTCCTGGGCTTCCTTTTCTAGTTCTATCCAGTTCTTGTTCATTCTTCTCATGTCTGTCTCTATTTCTCGGCGTAATGTGTTCTTTGGTCTTCCTCTTCTCCTTTGACCTTCAGGATTCCATGTGAGGGCTTGTCTTGTGACGCAATCAGGTGATTTCCTCAAGGTGTGCCCAATCCACTTCCAGCGCTTCTTCCTGATTTCTTCCTCCGCTGGAATCTGATTTGTTGTCTCCCACAGTAACTTATTGCTGATAGTGTCTGGCCATCAGATCCGAAGTATTTTGCGTAGACAGCTGTTGATGAACACTTGTATCTTCTGGATAATGGCTTTCGTATTTCTCCATGTCTCCGCCCCATACAGTAGAACTGTCTTGACATTTGTATTGAAAATTCTAACTTTGGTGTTGGTTGACAATTGTTTTGAGCTCCAGATGTTTTTCAGTTGTAAGTATGCTGCTCTTGCTTTGCCGATCCTTGCCCTCACATCTGCATCTGATCCACCGTGTTCATCGATGTTGCTACCCAGATATGTAAAGGTTATCTTAGAAACTGTAAGAACTAAATTGTCATGTATGAATATTTGATTGTTTTTAGAAAAAAATCCATGATTAAGTTTGAAATTAAAGTTTTGAATGATTTTTTAAATACACCTTATAAGTAGCTCATAATAAATCTTTAAAGTATCCTTTATCGTCTATCATGTGGGAGTTAGAAATTTGCATAATAAAACGTATAAATGTCCATTTTCAACACATTCTAATTCCACTGAGGTCATAAACTAGTTTAGGTTGGACAATAATTAAGAGCCTGGAAGTATCGAACGGCCCTTTTGTAATATCGTGGAACTCTTCAAGAGTATGCATTCATGTCCTTATAACCTGAAACCGAATTCAGGACTCAATGGTGTACAAGTCTAGCCTAAATTAATCTGAAATACTTAATTTATACAAACATGTAATTTTGTCAAAACGCTTTACAGCGTTCATTGATTTTTAGTGGATCTTCAACTGATATCACATAATGATTGAAATAACTTTTAAATAAATATTTCTAATAACTTTCACAAAATCAACTGTATCAAGATGTGAGATTTTTTATGCAAATTCTGTGAACAGTTCAGACTTATGCCTTCATAATTCCAGTTGGTCTGATTATATTCTAAATAAATATAAACAGTACAAACAGATAGTTTTCACAATATTTGATGCTGATACTATAAAATTTGAAATGTTAAAATATAGTAGCTTCTGATAGTTTTTCTAGTCTTTACCACTTTCAATTAAATGTCCAAACTCATTTAAAATGAGTTATCTCCGTTAATGTGTTATCGGTATAAATGAATGCAAATATTTCATAAATTTCATTGAGTTTGATCAATAGCTTTAGTATTCCAGTTTCTGTATTTATTTAATAAGCTATGCATATTATCGATTATCAGTATATTTTATTTTAGTTTAAAAAACCAAACTACTAGATGGACTATGGTTGGTATTTAAAATCTTAATTTTCTCATGCATACACCATCAATATTTTTTAAAAATCTGATCAACCTAACCGATACCATATTTTATTTAAGATACTTATAAAACTCACTGAGAACATAGTAATTAAAAAAAATTAATTTTTAAAAAAAAATAATCAACAACTTACTACAATGGTGATCTAGCTTCAATTGACTAATGATTTCAACTATGTATAATTTAGATAATATATACGCTGTTTCATAGAATTCCTCGAACAGCAGGGAATATACAGCTTTCAACTGAATTTACATATAAGTGATTGAAAGTAAAAAATTAGATGGTTAATGTTCCAAACAAACTATTCAAAACTTATATCTTTAAAATAATTTTTACTTTACAAACATCCACCGAAACCATAATACTCTGAACAACTGTTCGACTTTATTTTCAGTAGTTTAAGTGTTTTAAATTTTAGCAATATATTTAGAGATGGGCATGTAAAATGCTGGTAAATATTATGTAGATGATATTGGTTCAATGCTTTATAGCTTATAGCTATCCGAGAAAGAAAACTACCAGATGTTCTCAATGATTTTTAAACTTCGTTCCATAGTGATGAATTAGAACTTTTAAATTCCTGAAACTATTGACGAGTCATTGAGTTTAGTTGTATAATTCACTAATTATTACTTCAAATTCAAATAAACTGATTTTCTTAATCAATCACGAATTAACGAACCGTTAAATAATATGATTACAAAATCATATATATAATTACTATAGTTTTCTTTAACGAGATTTTCATAATTTACATATTTTTTTTTAAAAAATTACTTTTGTTCATATTTAGAAAGTTTATCGCGGTGTTGAAACAATGTGCACTGTCGAAGGTTTACACTTTCGTTCCGTCTATCGTGCTCGCGTTAAAGCACACAATCAAGCTGGTGAAAGCCAATACAGTGAACGAATTTGTCTACAGACATCAGATTGTGAGTTCATGTACCATGTAATTTGTAAATTATTTTCAGTGCTTAGTAAGTAACTCAAGTGAAATATTTAAAAAAATCGACAAATAAATAATTTAGACAGTTGAATGTATTTCATACACAATTCTCTTTAATAACCTTCGGAGAACAGAAATAATTAGTTAAGGATAAATGAATTTCTTTATTTTGTTAAATTCTAATTTATGAGTCGATTTAAGCCAGACAATCATTGAAGACCTGGAAGCATTAGACGCCCGTTTCACCCTTGTATTCGACTCCTCAGCAGCGCTCATCCACGATCTCGCAGGAGAGACTCAAACACAAGACCTTCGGTCTCACGCGCAAACGCTTAGACACTAGATTACTACGACATCTCGACTCATGAATTCAACTCTTAAATTACTACAATCTCCACAAACCCCTATTCTGATAAATCCTCATTACTAGCTTACAATTGGTAGCATTCCAAATCTAAAAAGCAAAGCCTTGTTAAAAATACTGAAATATTTAGTAATACGAAAGGAACAAAATGCTGCTTGAGTAACATAAAAAAACACGTCAGTAATAAGATAGGAATCAAAATTAAAATAGGCAAACTTCAGGTAGTTAAAAGTGCACAAAATTAGTGCAATACAATAAAGTTGAAAAAAGTGATTTGATAAAGTAGTGTAACTAGAAACAAGAATCCAAAGAATTATAATATGATAAAATGAAATGTATGTTATCAAGAAAATTACAGCTTAACAATGGTGATTTTTTGAACTCATAAATTCGATCTCTCTTGATTGATCGCAATAGTTTCAAAAAGCTTCAAAAGACTAAAACTTTGCTATTTATTAATTCGAAAAATGTCTCAGTGATGTTTACCTAATGTTCTGCGTACAAAGGAGACGTCTGAAAAATCACTCCACTAATAGCCTTCATTTTGTTCAATGAAAGACTTTTTTTACATTTAACTAGTACTAAGCTAGTTGATATATAGTAGTTTGAACATAAATATTTACCCATAGTGTGAAAATAGTTACGTATATATGTAAATAAAACGAGACAATAAACAAAAAATCCACTTGAAATTTTGTATTAAAAATAACTTGATTTACTAAGTAGTTTTCTAGCAAGTTTCACTATCATGATTGGAGACATTTTTCCGTGTATTTGACTTCACAATAGTTCTAACCGTGAATCAACTTTGAAAAAGTTTCTATAAAAAGAAGTTACCTAAAATAGTTATTTAATATTAGAAAATAGTGACAATGGTAAGATTAATAATGTAGAAGGCATATAATTTTATTCTATATGTAAAACAAAAAACGTTCGATAATTAAATTTCTTTTATGCTTGTAAACGGCTCCTTTACAATTATGGGGAAACTGAATCTACTTTAGAAATCTAAACACGTACAGCACTCATAGATATTATTTCTTGACTTTGCAGGATGCAACTATTCCCCTGTATGGTTTTGCCACTGTACAATGACTATAGACAGCAATAACTTACCCCATATATATCACCAGCCATCTAAGCTTAGATAAAGTCTACAGTGACGTCAATTTATCTAATTTGATTGAAAGTTTATTCAGCTTAAAAATATTGTCTGACAAAAAGTTATTTCTCACTCAGTATTTTTTTTAAATACATCAAAAGATTAGTTGGTAGATTATTATAATTAAATTCTTTCTTTAACATCATATTATGTTATAAAATTATTTAATTCATATAGACATAGATGTCAGTGGAGCTAGTTACTTCTATCCCAAAATAAAGATAATTACATCCCAAATGTTATACTTCCATTGAAAACCTGGAAGCACTGGATGGTTGTTTTGTTCTAGTATGTGACTTCTTAGCAGCATGCATCTACAATCCCGCAATCTGGGGTCGAACCCAGGATCTTCGATTTTGCATGAGAACGTTCAACCTCAAGACCATTAGGATAAAACGGCCGTCCAGCGCTTCCATGTTTTCAATAGTGGTCTAACATTGATCGACTCGGGATCTCAATGAAAACTCAATAATCTCTTCGAACCTATACTCATAATAATTACATCTAATTTAGTCTGTTAGTAGGAATTTTAAAAGGGAAGTTTATAATGAATTTGTAATTAGAAAATGAATAAAAAAATTATTAGAAATAATAATTCGCTGAAAAATTCCTTATTTTTCAAAATCTAAAAAAAGGGAAATTAATTTCTTTAAAAAAAGGGGGGAATTAATTTCCCTTCAGTGTACAAAATTTGATCTATATTTAAATTATCTTATCATTATTGTCTAAATTACTAGATAATTAGGATTTAAATTCATTTCTATTTCAATCCATATTTAAATTACGTAATAAATGATGAGATTTAATTCTACAAAAAAGAGAGCTTATATTATCTAACCAATCTTTCTGTAGCTAAGTCTAGATTTAACTGGTAAACCTCATTAAATCCCTTTTTTTCTTTTTACAAAAAATGAAAGAAAAAGACTTTCAGACTAGAATGATAATTTTCATAATCTACTCAAAAGTTTAAATATATATATATATATATATATATATATATATATATATATCCATTCTAACTGAATTCATTTCATTCTACATCTTCCATACAGACAGATGTAGACACTTAAATTATTTGATTTAAATGAATAGTTGAAAGGTGTATTTTTTTATTATTTCTTTGAAGTTAATTCGTCTGAATATGCTTCAAATTGAATGTTATGTTTATTTCATTGATTGTAAAACAAAATTGTATTTTTTCTTATATACCATCAACAATAACATTAAAAAAAGAGAGATGAAAATATAAGAATTGTGTTTTCATAAGTCGATCTAGGCTAAATCATGATTGAAACCCTGAAAGCATTGGACGACCGTTTCCTCCTAGTATGGAACTCCTTCTTTTATTTATTTAGACAAATAATAACATTAAAAAAGAGAAATGAAAATACAAAAATTGTTTTGTCTATTGGTATTAATGAAAAAGCTTTATTTTATAGTAAATTTATCATTTATTTAAGTATCTACTAAAAATAAAACCCATTTAATTGAATATAACATTAAATTATTATAGAATTAAGATCTAAATTACAATAAATACTGTTGCATGTGAATTAAGGCAATATCGAATCAATATGCAAAGTATATACATATGCCAATAAGAGACCGATCAATTTCAGTCCTAAATATCAATGGGAAGATCCAAGTAAACAATACCAAGCGAATTTAAACTTCACCTCATTGCACAAACTAGTGGCTATCAGGATTCAGTAGCTAAGTGGAAAACGCAATGGCGTTTAAATTGAACGGTACTGGTTTCGAGTCCCAGAGTGAACACCAACTCTGAGATGCAGTAACAACCAGATGACGAGTTCCAAATAGGACGAAACGCGCTTCCTAGATTTCACTGCTAGCCACTATTAGTCTTTGTATATAATGCTTGTAAATTGAGGTAATACTCACGATATGCACATATGCCAATAAGATACTCAACAAAATAGGAATCATACGTGTTCAGTAAATTACTAAAATTCTAATGAGAATTCATGATCAATGAAGTTCAGTCATAACACATTTGAGATAGTTATTAACAGTGATATTGAATGACAGTTTGAATATAGCACGAATAAATTCAAGTTAGAAAGATAAACCTTTCTTATTTCATCTTGTTCAATGATTTAAGCTTTAATAAGCACATAATCAGATCTAAAAAATTTTCATCAGTACTTTACAGGATAGTATGTAGTAAATGATGAAAAATCTCAAACTAGAGTCCAGTTTTTCGAGGTTTTTTTCAGTTTTAAATGGTTTTCCAAATGACAATAGTTTGAAAAAAACACTTTCCTCAGTTTAACATATTTGTAAAATGTCATTCCGGCGAGACTGTAATTTATGGACTAGCCAATAAGAAGCGTTTGAGGGATTTCAAAGTCACTGCGCCAATTTCATGTACGATCGGTTCACATAGGACTTTAGAGAAGGCGTGACAATTAAGCGGCTACAATAAATTGAACTATTAAGAAGCTCCTTTATTTGTAATTCCGGTGATCAAATGACTTGTAGACCTTGTGCAAACTACTGTGATGTTGTCCTTCGATGTAATATATGTTTGAAGGAAAAGTATGCTAGGATAGAAACCTTTTTTGCTCGTTCTAGATTGAGACTAAGGCAAATTATAATAATTGCTGCTAACTGTATAATAAAAGCATCAGTATTATTGGCTGCAATATTAGTAGATGTTACTGAAGCTTCGGCTGTTCAGAGTTATTAGTATTGTAAGGATATATGCGTAACAAAAATGACAAACTTACTCAACTGGAGTACATACAAACAATACTGATTCCCGATGCATTGTTTACGTTGGCCTTCCTTTTTTCGTTTCTCCTTAGGATTCCAAAGTTGCGAGGCCTGTAGCTCTTCTAGGGCTAATTCCACTCCTAAGCCCAAGTAAAGGAGGAGGGTTAGGCATGGGGTCGGTAACCCCATCCCATGAAAAACAATTTTACTAAAAAACGTTACTCAGAATAAACGATTAAACAAATTGGCTAGTTGATATCTAAATTTTACTCAATCATTTTGAATATTTTATCATTGAACTAAAGGATCTGATTTTTGTTAAGTTGATCTCAGTGAATTACAGAACTGTACGAAAAAATTTGATAAAATCCTAACTAGACGACACAGTTTATTCACATAATATGAAAATATACATAAGTATTATTTTAGCATAAATAAATTTATCTGCTATCATCATAAAACGTCATAATACAAAATGAAGTTTATGGGATTATTGATAATCCATAGAAATATAGTAACATTCGAATGGGTTCCTAAAAACTCCAATATTCCAAACTATATTAGTATCAATAAAAAAGTGCACTGAACAAGATAGAATAGATTCCTTTTTATGAAATAAAAAAAGTAATTCACATTAAATATCATAATTTGTGTTGATAAAAACATAAATATTCTATTTTATGATGATCATATTGTTTATGTTAATTTATCTATCTTGTAGGAAATATAAATCCTCTGCTAACAAACGGCTATTTCATTTATATTTAGTATTTTATTATTTTTTTTAATTTTCGACATATAAGGGCTAATTCTATTCTTGATAGTGCTTAAAACATGAACTGATCTTAGATAGACCATAACTAATAGTCGGGAAGCACTGGAGAACTATTTCATCTTAGTATGGATTTCGTACTTAGTATATAATTGCAACCTTACCACAGGGAGTTGAATTTAGAGTCTTTGGTCTGGCATGTAAACATCCAATCATTAAGCCGCTGACGAGTTCCATATTAGACTGAAACAACTATACAGTGCACTTGGATTTTTAACAGTAGTCGAGTTATTTTATCAAAATATACCTACTTATTTATTCATAATACTGATAATGTGGGTTCATTAGAATAAAATCATAACAGAACTAGGACAATTTTCATAAAAAATTCATAATAAAAAATCAAATATATTTTGTCAATATAAACACCAAGGGAATAAGTAGGAAAAAAAGACAAACACAAAACTATATCTTGACATTTTCTAGAAAAATCTCTTTATGAAAACATGTGACAAGAAAAACAAAAAAGAGAAAAAAAGAAAAGAGAGAGCGGGAAACAATGCTGATTCAGTATAATAAAATGTCATGGAAATCTTTTAGTTTCCAATGTTCTAAACTTGCCTGTTGTTTTTATTCACAACAATATTATTAATTTATATACTTAACAAAACCGGTAAAACATTGAAAAATTGGAATATTGTTTATAAAAAATTATTATTATTATTATTATCATTATTATTATTATTATGAAGCCTTTGTCTTTAATTTATGTTAATTGAAACTTTCCAATATTGTTTTATTTTATTACTTTGTTAATTTAATGACAAATGATGTTTATTGAATAAATTTAAATTGAGAAAAACAGGTGATTTGTTACCGGTTTCAAAAATTGATGACTGTGATTTGCACATTTTATTGGTTTCACAGTTTCAAGTTTATATCTATCTATCTATCTATCTATCTATCTATATATATATATATATATATATATATATATATATATATATATATATATATATATGATTCAACCTTAGTGGGAACATTTTTGAGGCATCCATTTTATGATATCTTCGCGAGTTTGATAAGTATAGACAAAAAGCTGAAACGAAATTCTGAAATGATTTTTTAATAACAGATATATGGAGATAGTTAGTAGATAACCATTTAAATAGGTTGTATTCTAGTTACCATTCAACAGCATGAGGAGTCTACAGTTTGAAATTAAATTATGATGTTAAGTTATATAAACTAATGGTTATATTGCATTTTACTTGATGAGTTCTCATCAATACTGAAGACAGAATGGTGTAATATTGGTTTGTATCAAGTTATCACAAGGAACTGAAGATCGTAATAGTGTATAATTCACGGAAATTCTTTTTTTTATTTTATCAAAATACTTAACTGTTATTTCTCTCTACCGAATATTTGGTTTCGGATCCATTTAAATTTATTTTACCGTTCACATAAATCAGTTTCACATTTGACTTCTAAAAAAATGTATTTTTATTTAGTTTTCTAAAAATTCATTATTTTGTTTTATATTTAATTTCTGTCATATTAGTTACTTGGTTTCATTTGGATATTCATACCTCCGTACCAGAAATTTTACTTACAAATGGAAATCGAACTGTTACTAGTCAACTGTCTGAAGATAGAGTAATTCTTGGTTCAACTGGTTTATCAAGAGGTGTACATTATTGGGAATTCACTGTAGATCGTTGTGATCCTGGTGGACAACCTGCATTTGGTATAGCTAAATATGATTGTAATAAAGAAATAATGCTTGGTAAGTTATATGATTGACAAACCATTATTTTATAAACCAATATTATTTAACTTAAAAAACTTATTGATCAATATGATAATATGACTATCACTTACTTACGCCTATTACTACCAATGGAATATAGGCCTCCGACCAGCATTCACCAACCCACTGTGTCCTGAGCTTTCTTTTCAAGTTCTATCCAGTTTTTGTTCATTCTCCTCATGTCTGTCTCTATTTCTCGGCGTAATGTGTTCTTTGGTCTTTCTCTTCTCCTTTGGCCTTCAGAATTCCATGTGAAGGTTTGCCTTGTGACGCATTTGGGTGATTTCCTCAATGTGTGTCCTATCCACTTTCAGCGCTTTTTCCTGATTTCTTCCTCCACTGAAATCTGGTTTGTTCTCTCCTACAGTAGATTGTTGCTGATAGTGTCTGGTCAACGGATCCGAAGCATCTTGCGTAGACAACTGCTAATAAACACCTGACTATACCTAATAATAAAAAATAAGGTATTTAATTGTTCTCTTCATTTCTACATTGATAAACATAAAATGGATCAATTAAAAGGATCAGCCAAAACTTTGTTGTAACTATTAGGAAAATGTAACAGTCAAATAAATAAAGTCAACGTGAAAATGAAGACTATAAAGTAAATGTGGTTATTGCTTACATCTTACAAAATATATGCTTGGACATAAATAACTAAAGACAAATAAAGAGATGCTAAATTATAGAACGAGTTCTATTACACTATATACCTTTTAATAAATATTCCCATTTCCATTATAAGTGACTCTTTCTTCATCTTTATTTCTTCCTTACACAGTTTTTTTTCGCTTCCTATCTATTTCTTTTTTATGTCAATTTCTCCTCAAGGCGTTTTTTTCCTTCTATACTTCTAATTATTCAAATTACGTGCAAATGAACTGAAAGAATACAAATTTATTCATGTGTATACGTTATACATTCTATTTTGAATAACATGATTATTTATGAAACAGTTTTTTTCTTTCATTTACTACTTATTCTCCTTCTGTGTTTATAAGACAAGAAAACAAATACTACTGAATTATTTAGAAAAACATGAGGAAAGAAAAGAAACAAGATGTAATATGATAGAAAAATCTCTTTTAAGCTTCATTTGAATTTATATACTTGTCTATTCATTTTATTTCGTTTCTATGATTTGTTAAAGATGAAATAATAAGAAATAATTCACTGACGGTATATTACGTAATAAACAATAAAACATTCCATAAATGACCATTATGAAAATGGACTACAGAATATAAGTAAATAATTATTACCATTATGTGTAAACAAAAGAACTTCTGTCGATCAATTTTTATCGGTTTGTAATTCATGGTTTGGGATCAAATACAATGCTAAATGTTTATAAACCCCTAATTTATGGTTGTGTATATCTAATTATATTCAGTGTTTCAAGTATTTGAACAGATATTAAGTAATCAGTTGAGATTTAAATTAATCCTCCTTGAATATGATACTTGTCAATCAAGATGTTTGATTGAAATAATATAAAGTGGTAAAATACATTGCCGTTTCAAGTTTTCATACTAAACAATACTTTCAGATTTTCTAGTATTCTACACAGAAGATATATGCTCGTATAAAAATACGTCGCATCCGACGAAGATTTGATCATGACACTTAAAAGAATTATTTCGTAATGGTAGAAAGATTATTTCAAAATATAGCTATATAATTTTATTTAAGTAATCTACTACAATGACAAGCAACTGTATTTGTATATATACTTAAAAAGGTCACCTTTTTAATCATGAATCGATCAATAAAAGAGTTGTTGAAAACCGAATGGTGAATTTTGAATTCCTCATCAGTGAATTATCATAGAGCTGCACACTCAGATTTGGATATCTTACTGTTGACACAATTTAAGTTTTATCAGTTAAAGTTCACTGGTCCGAACCTTGAAATTGATTATGTTCACTATTTACCGTAAATGTAATCCAGAAACGTTGGCAACAACTTTATTAGGTCTTATATTGAAGAACTTTTAAGATCACAACTTTTTATTACAAAGATCAGAACAATTTTTGAACCTAGTTACAGTTATACACACTGTAATAATTCAACATTTGTTCTGATGACTTATCAATCAGCTTAAGTAAAGCAGAAGAAATCATTTCCAATTTTCTACACCTTCCTTCTAATTTTAAACTACAAAAATTATGTAGGCATCAATACCAAGATTGGACTTGATTGTTTCGAATAAATTGAGTTTTAGGTAGAGAGTTAATGATAAATATCTTTTTGTTATATCTCAATGAGTAGAAAAATTATATTTCTGACATATCGTGACTTAATGCAGGCCACTTCTTCAAAGTAAATAAATGACCGACATAAAATTAACACAAGTTTGAATAGTATTATTTAAAGACACTGTTTAGAGTTGTGTTAATTTGATTTCCGTTATTTATTTTTCCTGAAGAATTAGCCTGAATTAAGTCATGGAACGTCAGAAATACAATTTTTCTACTCATTTGGATATAACAAAAATATGTTTATTAGAACTGCCACTGTAAACTGAGATGCACTGTACGGTCATTTCGTCCTTTTGGGGGGTTCCTCGGTAATGTTCATCTCTGACTCTGCATCTAGGAGCCGAACTCAAAACGTCCAGCCTAGCGCAAAAATGCTTAATCTCCAGACCACTAAGTTGGTATCCAGTGGTAACGATGTCGAATTTCAATCGGTTCAGTGCGTTGAAGTTTTCAATAGTAGTTCATCTAAGATCATTTCGTTGATTTAAATTTTGAAAACTCTACAGTCTCCACAAATTACCATTTTACTTATAAAATCATACTTCAAAGAAAGAAGAAAGCAGACAATCCTTTGATTAAAATATGATAGTTTATGATGTTAGTAATGTAGATATCATTCAGTTGGACATAATTGTTTCGTTCTGATACTATTAGATTAACTTATCATATAAATGCAAATTCTTTTTGTATTTTTAAAACAATGGTATTTACACATTTTTTTCCTTCAAATTTTCAATTATTTCTGTGAAATCAACAATGTTTAAACTTGATATTGGCTAATTTATTCTGTCGATATAAGTTTGATTATCTATCTTATAATACAGCAGATATAGGAGGTTACAATGTAAAATTTTTTTTGCGTCAATTGATTTTAAAATATATCGATTCTGTATAAATTATTAATTATTGATTATTTCAGCATCATAGTGATATATATATAGAAAAAAATAATGGGATTATTCATTATTAACATAACGGTCAATTTTGCAAACTCATATATAACTACATTTTTAAAGTGTGTATATAAAAAAGGAATAACTTGAGTTGATTTAAGCGAAACCAAACTTTATTTATTTGGAAACAAAAGTAAACAAGTTGTTCATTCACTTCCATAGTTTCATTAATTACATGTATTATCAGAAGGGGTTTTGTGGAGATTTTAGTAATTTTTTAATAGTTGAAATCATCAGTCAATTGAAGCTGGACCACCACCATCCAGTGCTTCCAGGCTTTCCATGGTGGTCTCGCTTCAATTGACTCATGATTTCAACTATATAAAATTACATATATCATTGAATTCTACTGCCAGACATCCCACTTACGAATGATGCTACATACTACTAATATCTGTCAGAATAAGTATTATACACTATAATATGAATAGTGGTGTTATTTATTTACTATAAATCATTTTCAAGGTACTAAAGATATGAAATTGATAGTTTAGTAGAGTCATGAAATTCAAAGCGACTTATGAATAAGTGAAGTATGGTAACATAATTTTCGAGAAAAACTGTCAGTCGAAATAAGATTTATTCATCTTGATTATCATTTACAATTTTAATACTGACAACTTAATAATAAGCAACTAACCAACATAAATCTGAAGTATCATTGCTCTGCAGTGACATATTTTATTATTTTGGCGTCCATTAGATCATATAATAAGATCATTTTAAGTTAATAAAACAGATTAACTATATTGTTTAAAAAGTTTACAATGCTTGTGAATTAGGGCTATATCGAAGATATAGGCACAGTATGCACATATGGTCGATAAGAGACTGACCAGTTGCAGTCCTGAACATCAATTGGAATATTCAAACAAACAGTACTAAGTGAATTCAAACTTCACCCCATTGCACAAGCAAGTGGCCATCAGGACTCAGTAGATGAGTGAATAACGCGATGGCATTTGAAGCGAACGGTACTGGTTTCGAGTCACACAGTGAACATCAATTCCGAGATGCAGCTACATCCAACTGACTAGTCCCAAATACGTCGAAACAAATGTCCTGCATTCCACTACTAGCCAATACACATCTTTGCTTACAATGCTTGTCAATTGAGGCAATATCGAGGCAATTCGCACAGTATGCACATATGCCAATAAGAGACTGATCAATTGCAGTCCTAAACATCAATGGGAAGATTCAAAAAAACAATACTAAGGGAATTTAAAAGTTTATTTTCTTTTTACCAACATCTCACTTCATAAATTGTTGACTATAAAATTATAAAATAATTATGAATTACAAAAATCACTTCGAAAAAAATAAATCCCTAAACAACATTTCGTATGTATTTGTCTATAAGAAATAACTAAAGAAGACTTAAATGGATGCTGAAAAAACACAAAACAAAAAATCATTTGTTCCCTACGCAAAAAAAGAAAGAACTGAGCAAGGGAAAAAAGGAAAGGTCTAGATGAAAATCAGATTCCACTTAAATTTATATTTGATGATTCAGCATTTCTGTTCACATCATTAACAATAACAACATTGTTTATAACATTGACGAATAGATATATATAGGACTTAATCGACTATATTTTCTAATAAATAATGACTCATCGATTCCCTAGACACGAAGGTTTGCCTAATCACATCAAGATGAAAATACATCTACTGTATTTCATTTGATGTAATACTCTTAAGAATGTAATCACAATTGATTGATCACTGGGTGGTGATCAATCTCATGCGTGTCAGGTCC